ACCGATGATGCAATTTCTCAGTGACGTCATTGGTTTTTGGATGTTTTTGAACATGGGGTCATCCACGCATGTTGATATCTTTTGATCTGGTTGGAAGTCCAACTCAACGTCGTTCGAGATCCCTTCTCCCTTCTGCAGCCAATGCGACGAACTCCAATCTTCAAGCTGTACTCGCCGGCCTCGCTTGAACCGCGATGTCCGGTTTCGCGGGGGGCCAAGCCATCACAAAGGGTCACAAGGGTCGGAGTTTCGGATGACAGTCCTGATTCAGGGTGGCTGGTCAAACAGGGACTCTGATTGACACGGGGTTGAGAAGGGTTGAGATACACTCCCTGAAATCATCGGCTTCGTGGAGTGAAGCAGTGAAGCTTTAAGACCTAATTATTGTTGTTCTTCGGATGGTCCTTCCCCACGACTCCCCCATCTTCCTGTCCCGCGGCGATCGTGTCCCGCGAGGGCCCGGGGAGTGGAAAACCCGACGTTTCGGGACGGAGTCGACCCGTAACGGTGCCGGAGGCGAGAGAGATCGGGGCTCCACTTGATTTCGGGGGTCCGAATGAAAGGAACAACGTCCAAGAGCGCTCTGGATTCTGGCGAAGCAAAAAAAACAGGAAGCCAAAAACGCATCAAAGACTTGCTAGCTGCTAGCCGGAACCACAATGATGTCTTCTGGGATTTCTGGGACTTATCCACGAAAAGTCACTATCTAGGCAACAGGGTGTGAGCCATGAGCCATGACATCCATGTCCATGACATCCTACAACCTCAGAATTACAGCTTAACCTCACTTTTGCAAACACCTGCCTCTTCATCTTTCCTCATGTTCGGGTTCACCCATCCAATCGCGCGACATGCTTCTCATTCCAAATACTCAAAACTGTTGCGCTGGTCCTCCTCCCACCGCCCTCTCCCACGCTCCGTGGCCTCTAAGAGATTCACCTCCACGAGTGGAGCCTGGCCCGAGGCGCTGAACATTGACACAAGCCCTGCGATCGCCCCAAGACAGGCTGCACCATGGGACTGAAAGAGAACTCCACACGATTGGTAACTCATGTTCATGGGTGGCAATGTTGAACAGAGCCACATATACTACATGGATGGTCTCGGAAGGGTCAGTATGTCTTTTTCTCAGTGTCGGTGTATGTTTCACTTGGAAAAAACACGAAAACAAACAGGAGTTCTTCCAACATCTCTTTGCTCAACCATTGGTTGATAGTTGTTTGTTGGTTCTGTATTGCTTCGGGGTGTTCCCTTGACCAAGATCAATCTAACACTCTGAGGGCTGGACATCCGGGTCATACTTTCCACAGCACCCTCTACAGCACCTCAAGTGCCGAGGGTGAGAACTCAGCCCAGGCTTCGAGTGGGGTTCAGCAAAGCATTACCGAAAGCCTCCGAAAGCAGCAGGCGACTTGAGAAAGTTGAACAAAAAACCAAGGAATTTCATATAGTAGATTGATGACTTGATATGAATTGCATCCTCTGACATCCCATCCTTTTTTGGGTGTCAGCAGGAGGCCGCTGACAAGGACATTCTTTGAATTTAAAGTTCCTAAGATCAACATTGCAAACGCAGCTCCAAAAATAGAAATACTGTAAAACAACTGTGCAAAACCGTGCCAAATCTTCAAAAATTCCAGAAACATCATAAAACTGGAATTTCATAATGATTTTGTCCTCCACGTCCCCTCTTCACTAAGCTTTGCAAAAATCATTAAACCAAAACACTGGAAATTGAAATGGTCAGACTCTGAACGACCACTCCAATGGTTTTTCCTTGTGCTTTGCCGCACTCTCTGAGTTCCCCCGCGGCATGACCTCAACGCCTCAGTGAAAACATCCCTGTCTCCATCTTCGCATTGAACACATCGTCATTCAAGTCTGGGAATAGCAACAAAACGAACAACCTGAAAACCAACCTATCAAAACCAACCATATTATTGAAAACATGTATGTATGATTCCGATGTTTTTTAACTGCTAACAGTGGAACCCAAATACTTCAAACAACCATTAGAACCACGCACTGTTGTGAAACCAAAACCACTCAGGACGCCGTGCCCTGAATTTTGCCATGCTGCGTACCGCCATCCAAAAATCTTGTCATGTACAACCACCTGTCCCATGCAACAAGCAACGACAAACCTGAGACAACCCAAGTCATCCGGAACATAAAACAATTATCGTGAGCGAAAGTGTTCAATCAACATTACCCAGGCAAGGGGCCGCGGCCTGCTCTGCCAACAAACCCCGCAACTGTTGCAACATGCTGAAAATTTGAGTTGCCGCACTACACGCAAGGCCCCCTCAAATCCTTACTGTGCACATATGTACCCTCGGATGTCAGTGCATCTGAGTGGCTGTTCACATCTGTGCAACTTAATTGAATTGAGCCAAATTTGCATCAGCCCCGCCAGCCAGGCTGCTTCAAGTGGTGAAGATCTGAAACTTGCATCTTGAGTGCCCACGCCAAGCGCTCCAATATTCGCTCAATGTACCAACTATGGTCATGCTGACTAACTCGGCGTTGCAGCCCGAAGCAGTGAAGCCTGCGCTCAAGTGGCAACAGCTTTCAAGCCCCTGCATGGGAATCACTGCTCGGATTGTCAAAAGGAACTTACTAACGCAGCATGCACTACGACTACCGCTTACATGAGAGAAGCTGCAGCTACGACTGCCAAACTCTGGGATCGCGCCCTCAAGATCAGAATTTGTTGGTGAGGCATTGGATTATGGTCAAACTCCGGGTCACTCACTGGTCACTCACTTGCCAGATTGCAGAAACTGATCCCATGTACCGACGACGCATTCTGACGACACATTCCCTGACAACTCGTCTTCGGAATTCGTCTTCGTCTGCTGAAAGCCGACGGACTTTCAGATAACATTCATGGAATGTCCGTCATACTTCCCAGGATTCCCAGGTAAACAGTAGAGGGCCTTTCCCAAGAGGTACCCTTTCTGGACCAGCCAACGAATGCTCTGTGTCCGAGGAGTTCAGCTATTTCCCTTTTCAATGTTGTGAACATCCAAGAGAGGTTTTCTCCCTCTGAAGTGGCAGGGGAAAGTGTATAGCTTGGCTTCCACAACTCCACTGAGAGGTCAAGAGGTGGTCTTTTGGTCAACAGTTGCTGGCTTATCCGGGCCCTGTCCATGTCTGACTGCCTTTCAAAGCCCTGAGAAGTTTCGACCTTTCCACTGAGTGATCAAGGCTCACTGGACTCTCTATGTAAGCTTGCAGACAGAGACCTAAGGTATACCTTAGGTACCCTCAACTGAAGGCATACCTACTTCTGAAACGGTATAAATAGTGTATACCTTTGGTACTCCTATGGTGTACCTTTCAATACCTGGTCCCCCAGCTTTCCCATCGTGCCGACGCATGTTTTCATTCCCCATCGCTGGCGACGTGCACGAACCCCACCAGCGACACCAAACAGTCGTCCCACCTGAGGGCGTTTGACGCCGGTGTCGCACCGTGGCCGCGCGGACCGTATTGACCGTGGCACAAAGCATATTTCTTTGAGAGACCGAAGCATTGCATCAAGTAGCTGGTCATATGTGTGACACCCTGGTGTCGACGATCAAATGGACCATGAAAACCACTGGTTGGTAAAGGAACCTACACTCTTCCAGGGGGGCCAGAGTCAGGGTCTACCTTAGTTGACGAAGGGAGTGTAGAATTCCAAAACCATTCATTTTGGAGCAAAACAAAACATACCAACAGAGGTTAAGTGACCTTATAGGACCCTACAGGGGTACCTATACTGTAGGATAGTCTATAGGGTTCTTCAACCTCTGTTGATAGTCTTCGTTTTCCTTGTTGCTGGATCCAGCTTCACAACCGCTAAGAACAGAAGGCTCGCTTCACAGATCTGAAAGGCCGATTTCGATCGGCCGAAAACCCGAACATCCTGTCTTTAAAGAGGTTATAGAAGGACCCATGAGGCTAAAGTCTAGAGAGAGGCATGGTTCAACACACCCTCACATAGAAATCTGTGGTTGGTGTTCCTGGTCTTCGTCTCTGTGTTCCGACGGCCCAGTCACGAAAAGCACCGATTCGGACCGTCAGGTCCCGTCCGGAATGACGGCCCGGGGTCGGCAGTCTGAACAAACATATACAAACATATACATGCATTGGGTCTATCCTATTACCAGTAATTCTTTACTGGCTGTTGCAGGTAATAGGACAGACCCAATACATGCACATATACAGCATATAAACTATTTATATAGTCAAATATATTTTTTTAAAAACAACAACAACAACAAAACATATACACACGTGTTAATCTATATTATATATATGGTACGAGTCCCCCGCAAAAAGAAGTTGTTCTACACGTGTGGTTTTTGGTGGCTATTGAATATATGTGTTTTGCAATTCTTAATATTTTTGACCAGGGGCTACAAGAGTATCTTCATGGAAAACACCTCTTTAATCGCCAAATGCCTAAACACATCTATGTCAAAGGAACTTCATTGTATATAGTTGACTTTGGGAGAATGAGTTGCCCTAAACACACTTACTATAATGTACATATACAGTATGCAACCATGCGTATCAAATCATGTGCATATGTATCACATCACAGCACGATCAGTTCATGACTGCGGTCACATGATCTCAATTGTCATGGATGACTAGTACACTAGCAGAAGCCTATTGGTTTTGGACACTGATCCTTCTTTGCAGCGGACTCCATGTAGTGTTTTTTTCGGAATGACGTAGACGTGTCGGCAGGCAAGAGCACCTGCCTGGACCTGGCAGCGACGAGTTCCTCCTCGTCGTTGCCGCCACAAAACATCAGGTGGCACCAGAGAGATATTTCAGGAAACTCTTTCTTTGTAATTGTGGATTGCTCTGTAGGTTGGGTCTATCCAATTCCCTGCTACAGTGGATGATGATGGTTGGCAAATGCCTTTCTCTAAATAGTGAGGGTTGTTAACCGACTGTTGCAGGTGGGACAAACCCTGTCAGAAACTCTTTCTTCGTAACCTCTGAGTCACCACATACAGGCTCCGCTTGAGGCAACAATCACTGGATCTCAGACTGGATGTAAGACCAATGTTTTAAAAGCACTTCACAGGGACCGATGGACTTGGCGGTGCCTTACCAGGCCCCCCTTATCAAGTCTAGTCTGATCATGTCTGATGTCAAACCCTGATTGTAGACCAAGCTTTCCCCCGGTGATGGTCCATACTTGTTTTCTCAGGTCAGGCGAACTTCTGGTGTGCCACTTCCAACAACCTCAGGCCGATTCTGAACATCACCCTGCAGAAAACACCCATGGACACAGCAGTTCTACACTTCTCATGTTCTCAATGTGCTTGGTATCCTAGTTTCTTCACAAACACAAATCCTGCTCATGTCCACCAATACTAATTCTCGCACACAAGTGAGCATGTGAGGGTTTTGGAGAAGATAACCTGCTTTCCTGGGAGACATGACCAACATCTCATAACCTCTGTGGATGTCTGTGGTGTCATGGTGCTTGCCCTCCTGGGTATTGTCATTCCCCCCTGGAAGAAGGTATCCGCTTGGGGCTGCTGGAGGCTGGTGGATGACGTGGGTTTCTCAGGTTGTAAACATGATGGAAATGGTGAAGTTCTCGGAACTGCTGCTGGAAGACGTGCTGCTTTCGCTGCTTTGATGTTTCGATACTCTGAGATACAGCCGGTCCCCTCTGCTTCGCCCAGAGACATGAAAAGCACCGAGAGCCCCAGGTATGCCTCGGACCGTCCGACTGGCCGCTGGTGAGCCGTTCCAACGGCTGACCGCGGTGGTAGTGCATGTCACCCTCGGATGGAACACACGACGTGTTTACCCTGACCAAGTGTGCGGCAAAAAAGACTCAAATGGCACCATTGGCCATGTGAAGCTTTTCTGATTGGGATAGATTGCCTGGCACCTCACAACACTCTTGCGATTCCAACGACGGAAAGTATCTGACTGCACTATGTAATATATTTATGTCACATCTATGTATCAGCTTCTTGAGAAAGTCCATGACTGCACTGCAGAGGTTCCCAGGTGGTTCCCGAGGTACTGTGATCATATCTCTGCACTCAAACGCGCGAACGTGGAGAATATCCGGTACGTTTGTGCAACAAATGTATAGTAATCTGCACGAGGCTGTACCCAACTGACGCCTAGACTCACACTCCTGACTTAGAAACTGTCAGAGGTTTTTGTTGAGACATGTTGGGACCTGTGATGTTGCATGATGTTCCTACAGTATGCCAGGGTGGTCTGTCAGATTCTATCAGATTTTGGTCGTGTACAAATTGGTCAATCATCTATTGCCTCACCTTCAGTGAGTCTAAAGGGCCCCAACTGCAGCTCTTTACCACTGGAAATCGCTGATGGTGAGTCAAGCAGCCTCAATGACATCTCAATGACCGATGACCTCTTAATGCTCTGTTGAAACAACTAATTAAGCTTTCTTTTCTTCAATCACCCCTTTGGTCATGAAACTCTAGAAACAACCAACCTCACCTTCCTTCGTCACCGCCACCCATTTGGACGCTGCGACAACAGGCGATGTTTTCTCTGGGATCTCCTGGCCCAAACAGCAAAGCGAAAGTTGGCCCGTCCGGTCAAGAACTGTTCGTGGATCTTCTTCATGGGATCCTTGAAACGACCGAACAAACCGGTGAGGGGCCGCTTCGCTGTCTCATGTGGCAAGCTGTCTTGTCTGGCCGCATGGGAGGCGTATGCGTCCCTGACACACTAGTTATCATGCCTCGGAGTGACTTTCCACATATACTTGAGATCATATTCAGATGCTTTGTACAATCTTTCGGAGGGAAACTAATTGTAAGAAAACCCCCTTCTAAACAACAGTCTGTGACCGACTCGTAGGAACTCTTGATGCGGTTTTCACAACGCCAAAGCCAGGATCCTGCGTTCCGATTTCACCTGCTGTTTTCAGTGGATCTCAGCTACTCGTAGTACAGAACTAGGGGCCAGGGGCCCAAACGAGCCCGGTCTATGCGCATGCTGACCACCACGGCCGGGGCTCCCAGCGACAACCTGGTAACTGGATCGACTGGGTGTTGTATGAGGGCAAATCTGGATAGCCCAGAAGCAGCACATGAACCTCTACATGACATGAGGCTTATGCAAAAACCGGACAGCTTTAAAAGGGTCTTGCATTCGCGCTTGCTTTTCCAGCAGAGCAAACACCTTCAGAACAATATGTGTTTGATGTTTTTACTTTTTTTCAGATGTTTTTGGTGATACCAAGCATGAGCCTTCAAAAGTGGAAAGCACATGAAAGCACTGCAGCCATATGCTTTTCAGCCACCCCACTGACCTAAGAACTTGGATGGCGCTGCATACTCATCACATCTGTGGAATTGAAATCAATACGAACAAGTCCAACACATCTAGTGCGAGATGCGCCGCATGTCTGATGGTCTGAGGCGATCATAGGTGGCGTTTAGTGGCGAATTTCGGGTGACCGAATCTGCTTCAGCTGGGATCAGGACGATGTCACGGCCCAAAAGTTCCCAAGTCAAGGGTTCCCTATACGTCCTGTTTGATGTTTGGTGTGGGAGAAAAACACAAACAATGCCTTGAACGATCGAAAAAGCCCGGCAGGAAAAAGCACGGGTCGATGTGTGTCAAAGAATGGGAGATGGGTGACTTGGGGATTGTGTATTTTTTTGCAAAGTTGTCAACAACTCTCGGCAACTAGTGGAAGATAGACTGAACAAAAAACAGGTTGGATGGTTGTTGGTTGCCAGCAATCTTCGACCAAGCGGCACCAGTCCATTGGAGGAATAGCACGTCCTCGCCGGCCTTGATCTGGTACTCCTTCGAAATCATCTCTAACTCCGTGAGCTAGCTCTCTTGCAGGCCTCTTTATCCCTAGGGCTCCTGGCCCACCTCCGTTTCGAAGGTGGTTGGGGTGGGTGCCAGGGGGGTCTAACCACCGAACCTGAGGATAGGGGCCAGGAGCCCACCTAACTCCTGGGATCTCACCGTCAAAAGGCTCAGATCGTAGTTGTAGTTCTGTGCATCTACTTTGCTGATTTGATTCGAGATGTTGGGCTCATCTCACTTTGGGCTTTGTGAAAACCAAACCTGTTGCAATGACCGCACCTGGTGTGGTCCACGGAGCAAAAGCTAAACTAGAAGACCCAATTCTGCTATCAGGAAAGAGGTGGGAAGAAGGGGTAAGGCCCTGACCACAGGATATCTGTGGTTGATGCTGACAATGTGTTGTTTTGGATTACTGGATTACTGGTTTCTTGTTTTTCCTGCATAATTATCTGTAGAGATCCAGCTAGCCTCTCAAAACATTCACCCTGGGATGATGTTTTGGGCTTGCGCCCCCCCAAAATCCCTGCTCAAGATGGGCTCTTGGATTTGGCTGTTCTAGTTCTTTGGAAGGGGACTGGTGTCGCTCCCCACAAGGAGACCCAGGCTCTTCGCTCCGCCCAAGTGGCTCTTAAAGGGTCGGTCACGGCCCTCATCATTGGACAGGACATCGGACTCATGGTTGGTCTTCATGGAGATCTAGAAACCATGCAATTTCCTTGTCCTATACACCACATACACCAGCATGTTCAAAAGCTGAACAAGCACATACACCACTCATGTGGTTCAGTCACTTGGAGATCACAACCGTTGGATCTTTTGAGCACCTGCTTTTTCTCAGCCAAACACGATGTCTTTCACCAAACCCTTCACTGCATGCTCTTCAACACAAAAGAAAAAGACACATATAACATCGTTTAACCATGTTTAACACAGACCATTTTTCTGACGTGTCACTTTATGAACATCTCACATCTCTTGGGGCATTTGGGGTCCACCTCAAACACCACATAGACCCCCAAATAGATCGAAGTTCGCTTTTGTCCCCACGGTCGAACCTGTGGACAGGATGTCATCCGGTCATCTATTTAGGGATGTCAAACACGAGCGTAGCTTCTTGCTCCGATCGTAGCGATGCCAGGAGCGACCGTCTCCTCCTGGGCCTGCTGAATGGCTTTCCTGGCGCATGGTGTCGTGATTGACGGTCATGGAACTGTTCGTGGAATCCACCAAACCTGGGGACGTTCTATCCGTTTGGATCACTGGATGGTCACCTTTGATTGGAGTGTTGCTTCTATAAGATGGTCAAAACTCGTTCGGCGCACCGTAAGCGCGGGCACCGCCGGACGGACGACCGGATCGGCCTGAACTGCGGCATTTGGGAGGGATCGGTCCAACGAACCCCGCCACGCGCCTGGAGCGGCCGGACGAACGGCTTGGGATGGGATGGTTGAAGGGCTGAGGAACGGGTTGAGAAGCTGTCCACCTTTTGATGGGGGTTTTCATTACCATGCGTGACATGGTTCCCTGAGCCCAAAACAGGCATGATCAGCTGTTGATTGCTGTGAAAAAGAATAAAGTCCCATAACCCAAGGACCTGATGCCAATGCAATGAATTAGGGCCTGATGCCTATGCATGGTTGTTGATGCCGGCCAATGAACACAAGCGACTTCATGGGAGGCTCAGGTGTTTGATGTGGCCCTTAAAACGGTCAGCCTACAAGGTCAATACCACAGGAAGATCCAGCAGGCAGTTCAGACAAAAGACTTGGTCTTGGGATCAAAAAGGCACCAAAAGGCCCCCAAGTTCTCTGGCGAAAGGTCCCTGAAACCTTTGTTCCCACAAGCGACATGGACACCAAAGGATGCCATGTCTGATGCTTATAATAAGCTGTTTCCGTTGTTTTCTTTTTTCCTTTTCCTTGTCCGCACCTCATCATCATTGGGTTCGCCACACATGAAGACCTTGGGCTCGAAGGGGTTGCAACAATCCATACCTCAGAGTCAGCTCGGTGGGAAAAGGAACCTGAAATGCATAGTAGATGTGCAAAACTCGATGCTAGATGTTTTGGGAAAACGAAAACACAACAGCTGATGTCGTGGCGTCATGTGGTGTCTAATTTAGACATAAGCCCCCCTCAAAGCCTTAAAAAGATCTGGCCCCACATGCGTCCACCGTTTTCCACAGCTTTGTCACACACTCTTTTTCTACATTTGCTCGCCCTCCACAACCCCGCGAAAAGCATCACTGACGACTCCGGGGTCGTACTCCGTGGAGAATTGGGCATGTTGAGTGATGGGTTGCTCTATGCTTGCGATGATTTCGGCTAAAATAAGGTCGAAGAAAAAAGAATTGGTCCATGGTTTGTCACAAATCCGGTGACTCCTGGGGATTTGCAGGTGGTCTTCATCATGGTTTGAGGACACGGAGGACACACACCGACCATTCTGGACATGGCTATCTGATGCTGTGGACCCACTACCAACTCCACCAGCACCACACCACACTACCAACTCCAGGGGCCTTGTGCCAGAATTGATTGCATGGTTTCCTCTTGTCCAGCTATCTCAAGCTGGGTTGTTTCTCTTGGAGTTGCTTGAAGTTGACCCTGCAAGACCTAACTGTTAGTTGCTCTTCTCAATTTGGTAAGCAAGCTCTGGTTTTTGAAGGACCCAACCACGGCATGCCATAAAATAATACATTGATTGTGCCGCCGCGAACACACGTGAGAAGCTACGAAAAGGCCTCCTTTATCCAGCTCAAGCTTTCACTGATTCACACATACATGGATCCTCAAACGGAACAAATGTTTGCCGGAGGCATTTTGTTCTTGAAACGGCTATTGCTCGTTTCGAAGATCCAGGTGAAGAAACAACTCATCCCCAGGAACCACGGTTCAGCGATTCTTCCTCTAGTTTCTTATTGTTTCGGTTTGGTCTTAGCTGAGACGCATCGGCGGATCAGCACAAGACATCTTCATGGAAGCCCGGGAAATTCCACGATCGGCGCAAGAGGTCACGTGAGTCAGGTATTCCCATGGCCGTCATAGGGAGGACGGACTACATCATCTTATACCAGTACCTGGATCTTCCAACTCTGCGTCCCGCCATTTGGCCGGTTTGCTGAAGCGTCCTTGTTCCTAGTAGCGATGCCAGGAGCCCCTAGTAGCGTCCTTGAAGCATGAGAAATTTGAGTTGAAAATCCGGAGTATATACTACATCTTTCCAAACCTTCAGGTCCATCTGCCCATGCGGCTTCCCAGCGCTGAACACCGCGACGCCATACCCCTGGGCCACACGGGCCCACGGCCCAAAACTCGTAGAAGGCTGGTGGAGCTACGCCGGGAGGACCTACCGAGGCCAGGACATGCGGGTGGCCATAGGGGCGCTGGGAGGGCAGTGACGTTTTCCGTGATTTCATGTGGCTGTGGACTGCGAAGACTCGAACAGGATTTCATTGAATTCATGAGCAAGCCCAACAGAACCATAATGTTCAGGGGACAACATCTTGATGTAAGGCTAATTAAGGTATCGCGGCAACAAATGGTTGGGATTATTTTAATTGGTGCTTTTGACCTGCAGCACTTTTTGCCAAGCCTAGCACGCCGTTTTTCGACAATAGCATTTGTTCAGACGCCTGATTCATTGAAGCACCCGACTTGCCGAAAAAGGTGCAGGTGGTATACATTCTATATAGGGATCCACTGGCACCCTTTGAGGTTTTCTTGATTGACACTGTATCTGAGAGGGTGCCAGGAGGGGCCCAGGTATCTGAGATCTTCTGAGAAGGTATTTTGGTCCAAAAAAAGAATCAGTGTCGAATGTTGCCAGAGGTTTCACTTGCGAAGTTTGAACAAATCTTCAGTGATAAGTAGGCTCCCTAAAGATCTCAAACTACACTACCTCAGCCATTTTGAGATCCCTTAGGTGAAAGCCTGCGATGCCAGCGATGTCCCCGAAACCCGTCTCTAGTGGCCATGGTCCAGGACCGAAGTCTCATACAAAACGCAGGTGGCACGCTTCGGTGCCGGAAATGACCGGCTTTTTCAAGCGGTGGAAGACCAAAAAAACACTACCGAAAGATGTGTGACTTCACCAAACCTCTTAGGTCGCCTGGTCCAAACCTCTGTTGGGTTCAGACTCTGATTCTAAGTCTAATGAAACCGGGTTTAGGGGACCGCACGCCCGGCCTGGAGTGACGATCGGAGCCACACAATAGGAATGGCCGTCCTAGGAAGTCTGTCCGTGAGCCACGCCACTCGCCAGTATTCACGCTGATTCACTGTGAGCCACTTCAGGCTGGAGACCTGAGACCTGGAAAAAGGAAAAGAAGCACAATTGGCATATTCTGCGCAACTGTCATATTGTTCCCACATGTTTTCTCCTGTTTAAGGCCAACATCACCCATCCTGCCACCCATCATGGTCATGAGAACGGTCCCTCCACCGATGTCAACCACCGATGTCAACCATGGGTTTTCATGGTCAGGAGCCCTAGGGAGAAGTCGCTCCCATCTCCTTGTAGGCCATCGTGAGGCTCTCATTCACCTCCGTGAACGGAGTGAACTCCAGGGCGGCGATGTCGATGAACTGCCCACCTGACCAGGCTTACGGCGGGCGGGTGTAGGGGGCGGTGGAGGGGAGGGGGGGGTTTGTGAAGCACCAGTGGTGAGGTTTTTTGAGGTCCAAATGAAGGTTGAAGGGGGAGAAAAAGAAAAGGATGCTGCAAAATGTCTGCAGTCTTGGGAATTCCTGTTTTGATTGTCCCTCCACCGCGCTTGCGTCTATGTTGTTTCTCCGAGCATCTGACGGTGTCTTCACTGCTCGAAAGTTGAACATGTTGAAAGAGTCCACCTCCCCGCTCGACATATCCGTTGAACACGTTAGTGGATCCCAAACGTGCCATGTAGACAACGCTGCAGACCATGCAGTTCAAACCAAGCTAACTTGCTATGTTCATAGATGTATAAGAACATATATATATATATATAAACCACTATCTGAAATCATCTTATAGTTCCAAGGTGAATGAAAAACACCATGACATACAATGACTCATGCAGTCTCACCTGGGGTTGTTCATGGTTGTGACAAGAAGACCCCAATCGGAGACGGTCCAAGGAGTCCAATCCCAGGCCCGGAGGCCCGGCCGCCCGGGAAGGTGCCCTGCCTTTGGAGCTCCGGGTGCTCACATTGGAGATGAGCGCTAAGCTGGCTTTGTCATAGTACCTGGTGCCCAAACAATGTCAACCGGAGATAGACGCATGGTGCGCATGGTGCGCATGGTGTGCAGTGCGCTGATTCCAGGAGTCTAGGCACCCCTGATCCGCAGAGGTTGCTTCAAAGAAGCTTAGCTGATCGCTTGGGGGTTGGGGCGGCGCGAGGTTCTCACGCAGCATCAAAACGAGGCCTTTTGGATCGGTTCTGAGAAGGGACACCGTGGTGTGGAGCCAATGACACTTCATGGAACGGAAATAGAATATATGGTGGTTGATCAATATTTGTGTGGGTCAAACAGCTTCTGAAAGGTGGTGCTTTTTAAAACCCCTTTCACGCACCTTTAGATCAGCTCCCATACACCTAGATTGAACAATCAAACCACCCCAATGTAGGTAAATATGCCGTAGATGGAGTGTCTGGAAATGGATGTTCACTGTCCTGATGTCGGATGTGCCTTGGAGAGGGACATGTCATCATGCCCCGACCTTGGGGGGTTTGGCTCGTATCGCTGGGTCGGCTAAAAGACTTTGAGAGTTTCTCTCAATCCACTCCAATCTTCAAGATGTGAGTCAAACCTATACTGTTCATATGGAGGGATTCTAAATTCTATAAGGATTTGGTCCATGTTGTTTTTTGGACCACACGGCCTGCCCAAATCGCACTGCGCACGGGGCCATGGTGCTGAACCAGTTGTAGAGCCCAAAGCCTAGACCTGCGAACCAGGCCTCAGTCACTCCCGCGAGCGATCACCAGCGGAACCCAGGCACGGCCAGTCCAACGGCGATCGCCGTTGGTGTTTGGCACGGCGGCGCGCGCGTGCGGCGTGCGAGTGCTCCGCGTCCGGGGAGGCGTCCCTACTATCTCGCGTCCCCAAGAAACAGCTACGTCGATGAAAAGACATAAATTCTACGTGAATTCTGCGTGATGACGTCACATCCAGCGTTTCAGGATGATTTGGGATTCCTGAGGGTGCTTGTAATCTGTGACTTCTCTTCGAAAGCTGAACCTGAAACCAGAGCCATGGGTCACAAGGGTCATAAGAAAAACAACAATCAAAGGACACATGCAACATGAAACGTTGGCGTGACATACATGGTTGCTGCAAGGCTCTCACTCAATTTTTAGCCTTGCATATATCTCTGGGATGAATGATTCCGTCTACTTTTCCCACACCTGTCTGCCACTTCACCATCGATTCCACAAGGGGTGTTGCAGTGGTCATCGTTTGCGGCGACCCCCACAACGGTTGGAACAAATGGCTACGCCACCAATACACAGCCCCTACAAGTCAATTGACCTCATTTTACTGAAATTGGTCATACAAACACTATTCAAGAAGGTAAAGGACCAGGTTTTACTGGGTCTTTGGACTTGTAGGGTACCAGATCTCTCTTGTGGCCACGGTGCGATGGAGCAAACAGCAGCCAGGAAAAAGAACCTGAGGCCGGCGGCCCGGGTGTCCTTCCGCTAGGCCCGGGTGTCTGATGGCACAGCTCGAACATCAAGACATCAAGAACAGCATGGCAGCACTGTTGTCAATTTGATCATGGACTGATTTCGATTCCTCTCGTGAAGTCGGAGAACCGGGTGCCATGATTCCTCACATGGACGGCTTAGTCTGGTCGTCCATCTCCCTTCGCGGCCACAACCCGGACCTTCCCACGGCGTGGTTCTTTCCAAAGTACCGACAGAGAAATGCAAAGTAAACCAAATGAACTAGACGACGGTTGGCCCGAGAGCGAGAACGGTGATTGTCAAGCAAACGCTCCAACACATGCCACACTTCTTGCGCACCGACTGGTCTTTTGAGACCGGTCAAGTCGATGAAAATCGTACCCCAAGACTACACCAAAACCATACCGCACAGAAGTTGTTGAAGATGTTCAAGGGATAATCTACAGGAAATCATGGTTTTCAGCCCCAAAACTATCTGTCCTGTAGATATATCGATGATCGAAGCCAATTTTGAACATTTTTGAACTATTCCCCTTTCAAAAAATCAAGAAAGCCGTGGATATGGAGGTGCGGATCCGAACGCCTCGTGTCAGACACAGCTCGACTGACCCGTCTCGTGACGACCTTCGCTCAAACGAGCGGAACGAGGTCTGGGGTCTGCACCAGTTGGGCTCCAGGTGGGAGAGGGATCTGGGATCTTCAGACCTCAGGAGAACGAGACTCCCGGGAAGGAGGAGGCCTTTTTTTGAGGGGTGGAGGGGTGGTGGTTTCAGATAATTTCAGATGATTTTTTGTTGGCTCGTCCACTCCAGGAAACCAATATGTGGTCGCCCTTGGTTGGTCTGCAATGTCTACAACAGGAAAGCTTTGGAACCATAGAGTTTTCAGGATAGGTTCTGAAACGAACAGGAAGAATGATCATGTCATAGTTGATTTGGCATGTTACTTGGTGTATGTTTTGGATTGTTTTGGGGTCCCTTCCCGGGAAGATATGACCCAGCAACTTGCATCTCTAGCCCTGGCAAAAGGCCCATGATTTCGCCCCCCGACCTCCAAAAAATATCCCAAAACTCCTGCTCCCGAGCTCCCTCTTGGACACCGCTGCTCGCGGATGGTTCAAGGTTTGGATTCCCAACAAATTGATCGAACTTTGACTCAACACATGGCCTTGGACGTCTTTGGCCACAATTGGCCACAATCCGTGTGTGAATTCATTGAGCCTTATAAATTCATTTATACTCGTCCGACTACTCGCTCCGATATAGACGAAGTCCGATAGGACCATAGTTGGCACCACCGGAGTGAGTGTCCTTTTTGGGGTCACCTAAAGACCTATTAGTGTAATGGTCTTGGACCTATTGGACTCCCAGGCTATGTTCTGTTCAGTTGTTTCACAAAGCCGAATGCACGTGGCGAACAACCCACCCTTCCCGTCCTCAGTCGCTTCTGAGGATTGTGGCTGGTGCTTGACGACGTACCACAAGCCAAGAGGGAAGACTAGACCTGTCTGCGGATGTTTGAAGAAATTCTGAATTCAAAGGATGCGAGATGGTGCCAGTCTACAAAATCTGTGCAACTGACCAGTCGGGGAAGACTTTCCTTCACGAGGTAGGTTTGCATCCCAAGTATTGCGCATTCATCCAACGGCCAGGTTTTAGCGTACTTTTTGCTGACTAAAAGCACAAGGGCTGATCATGAATGAGCAATCTTTGTCGTCATGACACATCGTAGCCCGTGCATAGAAGAAACTCTTGTTGTGCTCACAATTTGACATGTAATTGATCAAAGCTCGGCTCTTCCCACTCAGAACCAGCCAGGAACAACCACCTGCATGTGTTTAGCAAATTCATGTTCACAGGTTAAAATTGTGAGCAAGTAAATCTGAGCAAGTGTAAATAAAATCAATATATAATGTCGTTAGATCATGTTGCTGATGCAAATGAAACATTGTCAACCATGTTGCATCTTCTGCATCACACAACCACAACCAATTACATCCTTTGCAAAGTAACAAAAACGCAAGCAAACTCATATCTTTTGCAGCAACTTTCAGCACCCCCCAGACCCGCTAAAGACTCATATGGTGAAGTGCAACTGGCTCGCGTTTTTGTTCCACTTCCGTGGTGTTCTTTCTTTCGGTTTTTTTTTTTGCTAGGCAGAAGTTCAGAATCGCTCGGACCTTTCTCTGAAGTCAGAGTCGGATTGGGGTCACCAATTCGGAGATATGGCCATGGCGCCATCCATGGTCTGACTCAGTTTCCATCTGTTCATCTTTCGGGTGTCCCTCCATCCCCCAAACTCTTCGGCCTCGGAGTGAGTGACCAAAAACACTCAGACTCCAAAGACCACGGTCTATCTCTGGGGCTCCCGACCAGCGGCCACCAAGGCCCAGGCAGCCCAGGTGTGTTCGAAATGGACCTCATCTTGCAGCCCAGGTGTGTTCGAAGTATCGAACTGCCGAGATGGTTCGATCGAATCTTGGTGACAAAAGGGCCTGATTTGTCCAGTTTTGGCACTGGGTTCCAGTGTAGGTCGCGGAAAACCAAGGTGTGAGCTATATTAGGGTGACTCTTGTGACTACGACTGGTCAAAAGAACGGTGCTGATGCCGTACTTGAACACTTTGGAGTCCAAAGTACTGAAAATGAGCATCACCTTCTTGCAACAATCTAATTGCGAAGTAACCTCTACACGACTGAAACAACGTACAAGGCGTGGGGCCCCTGGGGAAAATGCTCGCATTGGCCAATGACAGCATACCGGCGCGTTAGACATGGCCTGTCCAAGAACCCATTGAAACAAAAAGCTGCCTTTGATGTGAGCCTTGAAACATCTGTAGAATCCTACAGAGTTCTGTGCATGGAAGCCGGAACACCCGGTGGGGAACAGCAGTTCAAGTCTCTAAATCTCTCTTCGCAGGCCTGTTTTGGAACCCTAAAGCTCTTCACAACCGCGTGCACGAAACAGAACACTTCCAATGCTGGAACTGGGTGATCATTATGGGTACCACATGGCACCTGTCTGCCCTTGTAAAACAGCTGATAACAAGCCCATGTCGGCCCAGGTTCCGGAAGAAAACCAAGTCTCTTCGTCCTGAGGCCATCACTGAGAATGAAAGTATCCATGCCAACCCGACGAAGAGCGCCCATGGCACGAAGACCGCCTGGCCGAGCTCCCGTCGGCGACAGCTCTCGGCAGCGAGTCCGCCGAATTCGGGATCTCTGTGGAGAGCTCCGGACCCAGTAACAAGGGCATCACTATTAGTAACAGGGGCATTATTACTAGCTAGCAGCTATAGAAGCTACTAGTAACAAAAGGCATCACTAGTAGTAGCTCCTAAACACATCAATATTAGCAATAATCCTAACTAGTGCTTGCTTGCTGTAAATTATATAACCTAGACGACCTCCTTGTGGTCGTCTATTCTTCTGTCCTTTTGACCTGTGGGAAAAACGCAGGGTCCCCTGGTTTGGACCCCTATAGCTGCAGCTCTGACCTTTTTGGTCGGAAGGTCCGCTCAAAAAATCGATGGGCTGTCATTTGGAGGAGTGTCGCTTCCAATTTGAGATGAACTTATTGCTTTTTAAGTTGAACGTATTGGAAACACCATTAACACCAATACACACCGGGTGGATGCGACCACCGCGAAAACGGTACTTCCTTGCACAACCATGTGTGTTTGCTTCTTCAGCCGGTCTAGCCAGCGAGCAAACTGTCAGAGCAATCTGCACAACTGGAGATCAAGATAAATATTACGAAATCTCGGGAGATCTCAGGAGACAAAGGAGCTGACATGGTTCTAACAATACTTGGAGCCTCCCAATGTGACAATCCCTCCAACAACATGTGTCCAGGAGAGATGAGTGCAAACCAACACAAACACAAAGCAATAGAAAAACATAGTGAATCTCCGGCAAAGTATATACAATATGTATGGTATCTATTTTGCAAACCATGGACACTTCTAACCTCCAAGATGCCCCCAGAGTTGGGGGCCTCCAGCATGGCGAGTCGGTTCAATCTCCATCTCCTCGTCGCATGTCGCGGGTGGCACCCCGTGGGTGGTTGGTCTTTGAGTCGAAGAACAAAGGATTGATCATCACTGACATCTACTTGCTTCGTGTTGGCAAACTTGCCAACGATAGAAGACACATACTCCAAAAACACACATATGTATGTAATATATATACACTCTATGGAACTCCAAGCCAAATGTTGATTGAATGGTCGTTGCCAATGATTTGCTTTGCAGTTTTGTTGGCCTTTTTGTAGAGGCATGATACTTCTATTTCAGAGTTCGTGCCTGAAGCGCCTGGGGATAAAGCTGACGGATTTTGCTGTTCACCTCGGAGCTTTTGCTCCAACACACTTTTCATACATTCCGTTACATTCCTTCGACCCCAAAAGAGACGTGTTCTTGAAGTGTACCAATGTTTTCACTCAACTTTGGAGTCTATCTAGCTGACAAAGACCTGCTGGAGAGCACAAATGATTGCGAACCCTTGGGTGATACTCACCAGAAACACTGTCAGTGGCCCGGGTACTTGACGCCCGACCCCGTCCTAGGCGTCTTTTGCTGATTGAAATCCACCGAGCCATATGCTTCCTCAGCACAAATTGGAAGGAACCTAATAGCGATGGCCTCCGAGATCATTGCAAACCTTTGGTTGATGAGCCCCCACATTGCCAAATCACGACTCAAGATAGGCCCATTTGTGGGTGGATAAAAAATGTCACACAACTCAAGATTATATGGGGTATATAGATAATATATCTTCCCTACTATCTTCCCTCCCTTAGAGGGAGGCCCTCCCTAGCCCCCTCCAGGATTAATTTGTTTGATTAATCTGGGGACCTCAGCATTCATAGGGGACCTCAGCATTAAAAAAATAAGGAATCAATTAATCCAGTTAATCCAGGGGACCTTGACCTCAATTGTTTTGTTATTAATTGAGCCTATGCAAAGATCATGCTCCCTGCATCATGCATGCTCCCTGCAGCACACATCGCAGGCACACATGTATCCAATAATTAGTTGACTATGGTTAACTCCTGTTACACCCTGTCTCTATTTCTCTGTCACATGAGTCACAGCTGCAAGAAATTGATCTTGAACTTTTTTGCTAAAGGTCTCTTGATTAATTTCCAAAAGTTTAGGGGGGTACACCTCTGTGATTTTGCACGACTTTGAGAAATTAATCCAGAACTAGTTCGCACACTTAGGGAGGGACCCTGATTAACTTCCTGAGGTTGGGTAGATTGTATTATATGTAATGTTGATCTAATGACCACCTGTGCATGAGGGGTGTTCCCGTATAGATAGACCGTCTCGAGTCTACCATAGCCGTCCGTTAATAGACCGTCCGATGAGCGAGGTATACACAGTATACAAAAATGAGGAGCCTTTGATCAAATAAGATTGAACTCATCTACAGCGAATTGATAAAGTATAAACCAAAAGCCGAACGCACCTCCCGCTTTTTACCCGCCTCCTCTGTATTTCCAAGGGTCAATCTTCGGGTTTCTACTTTTGGACTGTTACCTAGGTTAGGGGGAACGACCTGAAGCAATAGATTCTCCACAACGAAGGCAAGCTGCACCAATGGTTTCATGTGTAGGTCGCCAATATCATTCCCTCGATCCCTCTATGGGACCACGGCCCACCGGGCCCTCTTTTCTGGTCTGTTCAGTCTTGATCGTCCTCCTTCCGAACGGTCCAGAACTCGCGTCTCACCGTCCCAGTCACCGGTGGTACGGCGACATGTCGGGAGGTCCCGCTGGGATGGGCGTCACATGGGCCCCACCGGCGTGGGCGGTTCCGTCGGTCGCATGGGGCCCCGGCTGATGGGTGCATCGCCTGGCGAACCGAAGGGTCGAAGTGACCAGTCGAACTGTTCAGCTTCGTTCGGGGTTTCGCTATCGTTGGGTCCCTTCGTCCCTCTGGGGTGTTTCGGGGTATCCAACAGTCGATCAGTCACATGGCACTGCAGGCTTAGTAGAACCCAGACTTAAGCTGAAGATGGTCGATCAGATTGTGCCTCATCATTTTAGCTAGCGGAAGACATTCAATTCGGAATGTCTGGTCGATGGTGAGGATGTTTGAGGGTGGCTCGAATCGACGCTCAGCTACCAACCAACAGGATGAAATCCCAGGCCCGCCGTGGCACCCCGGCACCCCTTCCTCCATCTTCCCTTTAGCATCCCTTCCTCCATCTCCCATGGTCTCCCCTTTTCAACGTGTTTTTTTCTCCACCCAGTGGCCTCAATCGATGCCTCTAAATGTACACTATCTGACTTTCTCGGGCGATGGGTGGATCGCCCGCATCCCGCCCCGGCTGGAGCTCCGTGGCCACGGCGTGCACGGGGCGATTCAATCGCTGCGGATGCACGGTGGCTCCGGGCAACCCAGTCTTGGAACCCACCGCAACCGCCTCAAATGCAACCCTGGCCGACAGAAATGGATCCCAAGGCCCTTTAGGCACCTGAGACATGCTGTTTTTCTAACGGTGCCTTTTCTGTTATAGGATCTACATGGGTGGCCCACGGTCAGGGTTGACTGCTGACCACGGTCACGTTCATCCCCCAACATGAAAGGACAACTTCACCTCGAACCTATTGTCATTGTAACCTAGAAGCTGCCTGCCGCTGGCTCCACCTGCTTTCTTGATGCAAAGAACAATTATAATTATACAGTGATACAGCAACCAGGCCCCAACCTGTGATGAGTAGGGCCTCAAAGGCTCGCATAAGGTATGGTCACATGTTGGCGGATGCTTTGGGAGACTCTGTATGACTCATTTTGACTCTGTGCATTTGCATGGCGACCATGAACTGCACAATGCACACATAAATCAATCATCAATCAATATCCCGTATAGGTCTTGAGGTCACCCAGCAGCATCTCTCATTCTGGCAGTTGATCACTTCGAGGCTTCCTACAAAAGAACAATGTAGATGAGGGGGCCAACTTTGTCTTTGTGGGCACTCTGAATGTCCTTGCCCACCCCCACAAGAACTACACTCCTTGGAATAGTCATGGAAAACTACCTGTTTGGTATTCGGACAAAATGGCTATCCTTCTGAGGCCATGCCATACACGGAACATTGATGATTCCAGTGTAAAGAATGACCAACCACCCGCTAGTAACGAGAACAAGTGCTGGGATTTCTGGAAGTCTCGGCTTTCTGCAGCTGAACCTCTTGAGCCCGTACCGAGGAGGCTCAATGACCCTCCCAGTCTTCATCACAGCGGTGCTGCCATCAGCCCCAGCTCCACATCTTTTGAACGTGGCACAATTGGTGGCACGGTGAAACTCGAGCTAAGATGGGCGACCCCTGCCTGAGTTTGCACTTGTGCGTGTGGCTCGAAGACTGAGTCATCCGACAAGTTTCCTGCAGTATCTGACTGACACTGGCGAACATGCCCTTGAAGATGTTTGTTGGACATCCGCAATTCGATTGCAGTTGTTACCTTCCCAAAGCTGGTGCCTGTAAGAAAAAATACGTCCAGTGGATCTCTCCCACATGTTAGATACAGCCATACTAGAGGGAAACCAGTGGATTCCAAGGATTGTAGATTGTAAATGATTATTGCCTGGCAGTAAACAAACTGGCCAGGTTTGGGCGGCATTTATCCAAGATTCTTCACATTTGGATCGTCTTCTTGCCAAACATGCCCACGAAAACTGTCCTTTGAGTTTCCAACATATCGAACGCTTTGTGGAATCTGGAGGAGTTTCTACATGTACGACCCCAAACTCTCAATGTATGATGAACGCCTTGGTCTTTGGGCCACCCCCCGGTCTCATCATCTTGGTTCTTGACGAGTCATCCGAACATGTCGTAGTCTCCACGCGTCGTCTCATGGGGTCGACACAGCTTGGCTGTTTTCATCTCAGCCGCCGCGCCCACCCTTCACAGGTGCGGCCTTTTCGGGGCCTCGGTTTGCGAAGACGTTTGCTCGACGTTCGCCTCAACGAGTGTCTTCGTTGGCTGGTCTTAGGGTCTCTTCACCGGGGGTCAGTGGGCTCACTTCGAAAAAACCCCACCATGACAGTTCAATGCACTATAACATGAACGTAACTCACTATAACATGCACTTGTTTTGCCATAGCAAGCTGTTGGCATTGTGACACATCCCGACTCCATGTTGTTGCACCTGTCATCGGCTTGCACGCAGAAAAAACAGATCAGCTGGACACCTGAACCACACGTCAAATGCTTTCAGCAAGCAAAACATGCCAACTCATGGCAGCATGCCGCCCGTCAGGTCTTGGTGGTTGTGTGCTGTGAATGTGTCTTTGTGGTTGTGTGTTTGCAATAATTATGTGTTTGTGGTTGTGTGTCTAGGTTTGTCACTGTGTGTTTGTGATTGCGCTTGTGGTTGCGTTTCTGGTCGTGTGTTTGCGATCGCGTGTTGTAGTGTTTGCGGTCCGGCGGGGAACACTGCCACGCGGCCCTTGCCGTTGAGGTCCGGCGGGGAACACTGCCATCCAGAGCTGGCGGTTGAGGTCCGGCGGAGGACGAGGAGGACGAGGAGGAGGATGGCAGCTGACATAAAATCTAACATGCTAACATGCCTCACCTGACAGGTGGGGCAAAAGCATAGAGTAAAAAGGTCGTAGCTGGGCCAAGGTAAACCACTCCATGTGTCAAAGCAGATTTAGTGCGACCAGGTGACCAGGCCTTTGACCAAATTCTCTTTTAAAAACAAGTAGACATCCAAGACATCCAAGTGTGAGTGAACATTTACATGGATCGCATGGATATCATGCCTGGAATGTCTGTTTTCCAGACCGCACCCGTTCTGAACCCATCTGTTTTCAGCGACGCTTTGCGTTCGCTGAACCAAAGGAACATCACACATCATCACCTTAGTGGTTGGAAAGGTCTCAACACCAACACCGGACCGTACTGCATACAGTAAAGGTACACCCTGGGTGTGTACACCTTCCCTCCACAAAGATCATGTTCCGACACTTGGAGTTGCGTCGAAGTCCCCAAAACTCCCTGAAACCAAGAGTCCAAAACCACACCTCTATGGACTGAAACCATCAATGCTCTTGTTCGTTGCAAAGCGGGGAGCTTGGCACAAAGGAAACTCAAGGGAACCCAAGTGTCTGATCAGTCATAGGATTCTACCAAAGACCTCAACATTCTCCTGCAACTGGCTTCTATGAGCAGCTGGCAGTTCCATCCAACCTGATTGTCCCTTATCGGCACATGTCCGCATCAAGAATTGCCTTTTTTCTCTCGGATAATTCGTTGGCTGGTAAGCAAAGCATCGAAAGGTCTTTGCTTCTTTGAGCAGATGCAACCAGCAAAATATGTTGTTGATAAACCAAAAGCAAAGTTCCTGGTTTGATGATGTGAAAAATGGATGTCTCCTAATTACAAAGCTGTTCTTAACTCATAATTAAGTTTGATATATCTATTGGTGCCGAGAGTTTCTCAGTCTTGTGTTCCTCCTCATTCATGGGTGCTGACTTAAGGCGTTTGGACGCACCAACCTGCACCATCCGTTCGTCGGGTATCCTGGCTGGAGATCCCTCGGTTCCCTAAGTCTGTAGGGTCCAGATCCGACTTTGACCAAGGGTCCTGGTAGAAGCCATGAAACATCTCCACATCCACACAGCCCATCCATCCATCCATCCATCCATTCATCCATCCATCCACATGGCCAATGATTGCCTCGTAAAGGCTCCACATCCGTTCTTGCAAGCAGAACGACCCCCTCGTCGGACCAAACCGGTGAAGACCGGTGCAGCCGACCGTCTACCCGTCCACGGATTGATTCTGTCCGGCGATGGGATTGCCCTATGGATCCACCTACCTTGGACCTGGTACGGTGAGCAGGGAGACTGTGTAGGCGCCAGGAGGGTCCAATTACCTGAGGTTCGGTAGGAGTGGATCCATAGGGATGGATCAACAGATTCACACACAGTTTAAATACTGCATTTAAGTGATCCAATTCAGCTATGACGGTGGGTGTAGGAACTAAGACTGACCAATACAAAACCCTTGATGAATGAAACTCACCATCTACCTGTCCGCCTGAAGGGGATGGCTTTTGGCACAGGTCAGACTGCTGTCCAAATCTGCACAAGAATCCCCAAGAGGAAGACATCAAGATCCTCATGATCCTTTCTTGAAAGATCCCTTATCCTGTTTCATGTGTTGTCAGAAATTTGGATGCTTGGTCACCCCTTCCGATCAAATGTTGCATCTGCATGGGATCACTGTGAGGCAGAGATCTATCAGCTACCAGCGCTTGGCTGTTCAGCATGGACGAAGAGCTGGCGGGAATTCTCCAAAACCTAGCAAAAGGGATTGCTCCCTAGCCCATCCCAAGAGAAAGTAGACTGTAGCCACCAACTGCTCGTTAGTTAGTCCCCGAAACCTAGTCGAGTTATAGTTGTACTATGTTCTGTTTGTATTAATGATACTTATAAGCCTGAAACCCGAACCGTGAAACAAAGCACGAGTGAGTTGAGTGTTCTTCCCCGACCGTGAGGGGAGATGGAGGGCCAAGCCGTAAGATGCCCTAAGTATCGTACGGCTATGAGTTTGAATATAGAATGCCCTAGTGAAAATGCCTAGTTCACTGGTGGCATGATATCATTCAAAAAGGATGCCCTGGTGAATACAAGTTTATTCTTAGAGGTTCACCTGCCAAGTGGGTACAAATCGAGGTTCCCTCCCAGTTCCCAGGTTCCACGCTTCATTCGCCGGGCGCCGTAAAATGGTCCGCCAAATTATGTACAAAGCTTCCAGAAGGGCCTGGCTGAAGCCAATGGACCAAAGCCGAGAATCAAGATGAACCACTCGGAGTGGCATAGGGTATCGACATGTATGTCACATGTCAACCAACGAAAGAATCTCATGAAAAAGGATGAAAAGGGCAGGTGCTGAGCTCCTAAGCCTGAATTGAGTGTCCTCAAAAGCCAGGCAGCCATCCCCTGGGATCCCCCCTAAAAAGAGGTGGCCACGTTGTAACCATTACATAAAAAGCCTCCCTGACAGCTCTCTTCAAAGAACACAGAAATTCCACTCCAGGAACCCAAGTGGTTCTGGCCCAACAGCCTGGTTGTCACAGAAAGAAACCTGCAGGATTTGGTACAGCTCGAAACATTGGCCAGTGGGACAAGACCTGTGGGAGATCGTGGGACAGCTCGCCCAACAGCCACATTCTTCTCATCGTTTTCACCAGCCAGCTGCGCCTGTATTGAGCTTCAATGGAATGGATGCTGCACCTGCACCAAAATCAAGCAGGCAAAAACCAAAGACATGCTTTTGGCCACTGTATATCCGGCAAACAAAAACAATAAAACGCTTGTGGAACCC